GATCGAGTGCCCACCATACGAGGAGGTGTGCAACACAAACTATTACCTCAGCGAAATCCATCACATCCCCGTATCCGGTACGACCGGCAGTGCGCACCACCTGACTCTCATGCTTGTGGCAGCTCTGGCAGCTCTGATTGTCCTCGCTGAATGATGGCAGGGAGAAACGTGCGTGAAGAGAGTGAGCCACAGGAAACATGCACAAGACAGGGACGAAGAAGGCGAAATTGAGGCAGATGCGTTGTAGGCTGACCCCTGATTGTTTTCTTTCAGTGGCATAATTTTACTTTCCATATATATATATACACATGTGTGTATATGTTTTATATAGTATTTATACTTGTATTTCTTAATATTTATGCGTGTTTACATATATTCATATATATGTATTTCTATATATTGTTTTTCTTTTTTATTCGAACGTACAAGAAGTATTTCCGTCTCTCAATGTGTAATTCATGATTTGTGTCTTATAGGAAGTGGGAAAGCCACCGCCTGAGAGTTTCTTCAATGTTATATACACTTATTATTATACGACCTTGAACTAAAACTGTGAGACTAAGTGGTGGGGATGGAGAGCGCACCTTCGGATTTGGGCAAACATAACGAGTGGAACTGCGCCGAGGTAAGCACTCCGTTGTTCCGTTCTTATTTATGGAGTAAGTCACTTTATTTCTACTGTTTAAATCGATGGGAATATGTTACTTTCCAGAAATAATACATGATTATGCGGTAGTTTTATTTTATATCCTTATACCCTAACTGTAACTACACCAACATGGCTGATCCTTATTCATTCAGTATGGAAAACTTAACTATTGCGACTTCCATCGCGAGAGTCGCGGACGTGAAAGGGCGCGGTGCAGCGGGGCACCGTAGCCGAGCCGCATGAGTGCCTGGTGCGCTTCTGAATGACCTTTCTCTCTTTTCCTTCCACTTCATTTCTACTCGTCTGCGTTGCGTCGCGTGCCACAATAGTAACACACTCGCACAAAGACATTACCATCCACACACCCCACACCACAGCCAAACGTATTGTCCACGACCCCCGCCGCCACACGCCACGGAATGCCCCTTCCGCTCACCGGCCTGCGGGTGTCCGCGCTGACCGCGGCCGCTGTCCTGCTCGCGCTGCTTGTCGGCACCCCGCTGCTCACTGCGGGGCACCGTTGCATCTTCGACGAGATGCAGCGCCTGCAGCTGGCGACTGGCACCAGTGCCGTCCCCGACGTGGAGCACCACTGGGCGCCGCAGCGCCAGGGTGCGGAGCAGCATGGCAGCATCACAGGCCCTGACTCATGGGAACCGATCCGCATCTCGGTGTTCACCGAGGACCTCGACAACAGCTCCCGCTACTGCACACAACCAGGGGAGATGAGACCTAA